TAACAGATTTCTGGCAATACCAGCAGCCAAGAGAAAGGCATGAGATAGCATCCCTAATGAAGCCCAGAGAGAAGGTTGTGCTGTTGACACCTTGAGTTCAGACTTCTGGCCTCCATAACCATAAAAGAGTACTGAACACTAAGTCTACAGTTCTTTGTTATGCTAGCCACACACAATTGCAATAATATGCCCAATCACCATTTCTTTTCAAATGTGTGGGATTGAACCCACAGCCTTGAACAAGTGCTCTACTACTGAGCTGCATCTCAAGCCTGTGACATCTTAGGATACAGAATAACACACACAGGCCTTGTGCTCTCTACATAGTTGAGAATGGCCATGATACTATGATCCCCCTTTCTTCATTTCCCCAATGCTGGGAAGGTAACATCACAGAGCCTGACTACCTAGCCTCCATTATACAGCACTGTAAAAAAAACCTCACTACTCAGGTGAAGTCTTCGGCCAAATAGAGGACTTCATGTCCTAAATAACTAAAGCCAATAAAGTATGAATGTAGGATCATAGGAGATTTGTATGCTATGTGTAGATAATCAGGTTTCCATATGAAATTCACCCCTCTCCGGGCATCCTCAGTATTTAAATGTTTAGTTCTAACATTGATGTTTCCTAATCTAGGTATTTTTAAACACTGTTATAAGTTGTTGGCTTCAAGGAGAATTTTCTGAGTCTCAGAGGCTCTCATAGAAAGATGTAGAGTGCTCCCTGAAACACTGATCTACAATGAAAAAGCAGAGTTGGGCAGGAGAAAAGTAGGCTCCCGCTTTAAATGCAACAGAGGCCCCAGATGATACACCAGAGAGCTTGAAAGCTCAACAGGCCTTTTATAGTTCTCCTATCAGGGGCGAAAGGGCTAGGCCTTTGCCCTCAAACTACACCTCCTATTGAATATGCCTACCCTAGAAGAGCCAGGAGTTTGGGGAAAGCAACTAAAAGTTTCCTTCCAGTAGAGATAATACATGGAGACAGACACAGTTATAAGCATGTAGAGGAAATGAGTGGCTGAATGTATAATGAGACCTAACACATGGACTGCAGCATCAACCTAGTACAAGAATGGAAGCCTATCTGCCTAATCATCATCTGTTATGAGAATGTGGCCATGAGAGTTTCCGCACCTGGATCAGATTGCCTTATTCTGGGAAAGAATCCATTAGGTGCTCTCAAATCATGTACACCATGACAGGTCTGCGAGGTCTCAGCTCTGGTTTCTCTGACATTCCCTCTCCCACCCACATTCTTTCCACTTGAACATCCTCCAACAGGTCTCAAAAACCTTCATCTTTACAGTGGCTTCTGATCAACATTTGGACCACAGTGATTTTGCTTTATTGGCTACTTGGGCATATAGGATAATCATTTAACTGCTATTTAGAAATTTTGGCTCTTTTCATTCATTTATTTATTCATTCATCATACATTTGAACACTAACTCAATACTAGACTAAGCACTGAGTATTTAAAAAGTTTAAGAGATTGTAAAAGTTCTTAGCCTAATGATAAACAGCTGAATTTCACTTAGGAAAAAAACAGTGTCGTAGATTACTGTTCTCTGGCCTATGACCATCTTAAGTAGAGCAGCTGTCATGGACCACAGGGACCCTCCCAAGGTCAGGTTCATTGACAATCCTATGTAAAAGTAGGATGGAGGAAGGACTACTGAAAGGGGACTCAATAAAGTGCAACAGCCATGAAGTTGTTATATATCTTTGGGTATAGATTTTTAGTAGTACAAATGTTTGGGACTGCCTATGTTCCTCTAAGTCATATCTCACACATGCTACTACAAGTAAGCAAGTAATAAGCTCTTTGTTTCACAGTGCTAAATTTGAGTCAAATTATCTTTTTGGTCTGTCGTTAGTGTATATATAAATGAAAAGCCCTTGTTCATATTTTCCAAGCAAATGTCATGCAATATATGTATTACGAGTATTACTATGACTTGAGTAATTTGGGGCTGTGAGAAAGACCTCAGTGGATTCTGGAAAGGGTGTATCACTCATAAACATGGAGGGTCCACAACATAAAGCAGTTAACTCATGGGAAGGAGATTAAACACTAGCTAGTCACTCTGTGAGTTCAGCTGAGTCACCCTTCTTCTACTCTTCATCTGAGTATGACCGTGTTTGATAAGTCCATGATGTGGCCAAGACGCATGTCTATGACCTGCTTGAGTGGGGAGTACTCATATCAACCTCCATAGCAATTAGCAACCCATGAAACTCAAATGTATGACTTTGTATGTACAAAACACATGATGTGTGTGAAACTCAGGTTATAAATACTTAATAAAAAGCACACATCCCTATCATTTAGACATCTCTAAAAAGCATGAATCCCCACTGGTTGTATCATTCCATTTTACCTTTCCCTCTTGGAAGCTTCAAAAGCTTTAGGCAAGTCCCCAACAGGTAATGTAATTCTCTCAATGGGTTGGACTTCCAGGTTAAACAAAAATTATGAATCTAACTATACAAATTGAGCAGAGATGGTATACCAAATAGATACAAGCAAGAGATTTCTTTAAAACTATCCAACTGTAAGACTGGAAAATAGAAGAGGAAAATATCATATAAATAATAATTATCTGAATGTAATGGTTAATGTTCTTTAATGTAGCTCCAGCAAAAATGTCACTGAGAGAAATGCTATTTCACTTCACTACTAACAAATCAGGTACTTAGTGTGCTGGGGGAGAAATGATTGGAACTGCTTTAAAGCCATGTTAACCAGAGAAACTGCAAAAATATTTATATTCTTATGAAGGAAGGAAGGAATGCCTCTCATGGGTATATTTAAGTACCTTCAATCTTTTGGATAAATGGTAATTTTAAACAAAAATGGAAAGATGACCTTAGAATAATAATCTCAAGATCCAACTGGGACTAAGCTTCCCAATGTAAAAAAAAATAATTATTTGCAATATTTTCAGGTTGGAAATTTCTATACTACACTATAGCTCATAGATTTTATGATATGCCTCAAACAAAAATCACCCAAACACCCAAATCTGAGCTGGCTTCTTTCCCATGAGGTAGGTTCACTCATATGTAAAATTACTTGCCAAGTCCTGCTGACTGTCTGTAATTCTGCTCAGTGACTCTGTGGTGTTTGTCAGGAGAGGAAAACAAAGGGAAGGAGAAAATCAATCCATTCACGGAGGTGTTTCATATAGAGCATGGGACTGGGAAAGCAAAATCAACTCTGGCCCAGTGAGGGCTTTCTCTAGCCAGTTCTCTCTCCATTCTTCCTTTAAGAGAGCTCATACAAAGGCAATGTGGAAAATTTCACAGGATAAACGTTGGGTTTGTGCCTAAAAGCCACCCCATTGGCTGAGTATCCTTTATCCTTTGTCATTGCTAACAGCCGTTATATATGTTACATGGAAAATTAAGATCTAGAAAGGACCTGACCTGGGAGCCATTTTCTTTTCAGATACCCAGAAAAGCCTTTGAGCATCCATTTGATCTGCTATATGTGTCATTAATAGTTATGTGACTAGATGACATTAGGATGAATTACTTCTTGGAGAGGCTAAGTCAATGAACGTCAACAAGCAAATAAATATGCAAAAAGTTGCATGGGGATGTCTTTGAATGACAGGGCCCTTTCCATTAAGACATATAACAAAGAGGAAAATTCTACATTTAAAAGGCCAGAGATTACAATATTACAGGCTTATTTCTCTTGATCCCATAAGTTTTTGACTGCCGGTGGACTGAATAAATTTCTGATAAAATAATCTCCAATCATACACGCATTTACAGAACTCATGTGTCATAAGGAGAGGAATCCTCAATAATGTCTTCATTTGATTGGGTAAGCATATAGGCATACAAGGTAAGGAGTTTCCAACATCTTGACAAGTAGAAGAGCAAGGTCCTTTGCTGCCTCTGAAAAGATCCCAAGTCTTTCTACTTTGCATCTATATTAACATGAGCAAATTGAATTAATTTAGTCTAATAACATTAAGTCAGTAACAAAATAATTCTTTGAAGCAACTGTGTAGATTAATTAACAGACAGAATTAGTGAGACAAAATGAATGGTTCAATAGCTCTGTGTCAAATTTTTCTTTGACCAGGTCAGGAAACAGGCAGAGCTCATCACATGCCAGTCCCTTAAAAACCCCTGTGATAGTTAACAGATTCCAGCAAATTCATGACAGATGCCAAGTGTTTCCTGGCTGTTCCAGGCATCTCAAAGCCAACACCCAATGAGGTTTAGTGCTCATGAGAACCAGGTAATGTTGGGGTTGAATGGAAGTCACCAAGGAGTAGTCTGTCAAATTGCCTAAGAAATGGAAAAGAGTCTATTACTCTGGCAGTGTCACAGAGTCTCTTATTTATGCTTCTCGATGGGAGAGGGGGAAGAACAGCCAGAGTTGCATGCTATAGCAGCTATCCAGCTGCTCATGCAGTTAATATAGCTGTAGAAAGGACATGATTTATACAGGACTGCTTTCCCTCAACACTAGCACACGTGTCCAAATCCCACTCATTCTGGTGGACTCATAGTGTGCACACACCTCATTATGCTCTGGTTACAGTGGGCAGCTGCTGGTTTACATTGGCACAGGAATCGCACAATGCCGCGCTGTTTTGATCATACCTATAGACCTATATCCCCTATAATATAAATGGGAACAGCTTGGTTACTGAAAACGATAGCAGATTTTCATGCATGTTACAGACCAAACTGGTACTTCACGTCAGAGAAAGGCTCCCTGATGCTTGCTAGTGAGGCTGGCTGATTGAGGCACTACATTGGAAAGCATGCACAGATTATTTCCAGTGTCAACAGACATGCTGCTGCAGGAGAGGATAATCATCGAACCAGTTTCTCACAGCAAAGGAGTGAGGCAAGACCTAGCTTGGAGCTTTTTTGCCCCTTGCAAGGAAGAAAGATAGATCTGTTATTGTTCCCCGTTTTTATATTCTGCTGCAGAGCAGGGAGCATGGCCCTTATAAATTCACATACCTGATAGGGGCCCTGGTTGCAGCCGCAGTAGCTGCTCTCCATGGTGTAGCTTCTAGAAACCCCCATCTCTCTCCACACCACGACTCGAGCAGTGGAAGCTCGTGATTTTTCTACCAGAAAGCTGCAGCTGTTCATGGTGAATGCTGGTGCTAGCTTGTCCAGGATTTTAGGAAGTGTCTGAAATGAAAAGAATAAAATCAAATCATGATAAAGTATAGGTGATTAGGAATAGTCATCATTAAAAAAAAAATGCTTCGTGACATTTATTAAATATCACCATGTATCAAACCACGTTTATGTTACTCTGAGTCCCTAATTTAAATGAATGGATATGAACATTATTTTTATGATTTTTGTAGATCAAAACAGTGATGCTTAGAAAACATAACAAAAAATAATTTAAAACCCACAATCGTGAGATGGTCAGAATGGGATTGAAAAGCCAACCTGGTCTAATCCAACACTGTGAATTTGGTCTCCCCATTTCTATGTCACTGTACCCCCACTTTCATGGATTGCTGAGTTGTGCCAGTTGGGAACTATACATGTCAGAGACCTGCAATTTCTAGTGATTCTATCCAGCTCCACGGACGATGTGGGAGAGCCAGTCACTGATGGTCCTAAGCAGATGCACATCTAACGTTCTCTCATTTCCTGTGAGTGTGTAATTGCCCAAGTGAACTCTCATCGTGTCCTCTGCCATAAATCTGAAGCTGGAACAATTATGAAAGTTCTAAAACTCTATCCTCTCAGTCTTCATATATCCCACCTTTTTTAGGGCTAAAAATGTTTTATTTATGACCATTTAATCTCCATTTAGAAGGCATGTATAATCTCCTACTACTCCATTGCCTGAGTGGGGTTCCAGCCAACCAGATCCACCTCCAAGGGAATGCTGTCCTGTAGTTGATAGGACACACAGTCCTTGGATAGACAGAAACACTAAACATTGACAGTCCCAGCCTTTAGCAGCATTCAAAGTACCACTCGCTTCAGTACTAACAGAATATGCACAAAATAGCACATGATGTAAAAACATGTACAGTGTACCACAAATAGGGAAAGTTCAGGCTTTTAGTCAATTTTTTAAAAAGATTTATTTATTTTATGTATGTGAGTACACCATTGCTATCTTCAAGACACACCAGAAGAAGGCATCAGATCCCATTACAGATGATTGTGAGCCACCATGTGGTTGCTAGGAATTGAACTCAGGACCTCTGGAAGTGCTCTTATCCTCTGAGCCATCTCTCCAACTTTTAGTCAAATTATACGGAAGAATTTGTAAGTTCTTCTGGTAGAAATGCAGTTTGGGTCATTTCTAGAACGTTCAGCAAATTCTCCTCTCTCTGGTGGTTTTTGTCCTTACATTTAATGTAATTTAATCATATAATTATCTCTAAAGGCATGTGTTTTATAAGTATATTACCATAATTAATTGTTTGCCTTATTATGATCTCTGAGTTCTTACATTGCTTCCAGACCTAGAGGTCATTCTTATTTGAGTTTCAGCAATTGTCCCCTAATTGGTTCGTTCACATCCACTCTAGCATGTTTCTCTGGGTGAGCTTTCACTATGTTTCTTTCTTCAAACTGCTCACAAAAATAATAATAATTAAAATTTTTAATTATCATGTGTGTGAGTTCTTTAATTTGCATTCCCTCTTTATTGTGGAAGTTCCATGGTGACAGGAATGGGTCTTAGAGGAAAATCCCTGTAC